TTTTACTCGAAAGCGCGCGTTACTTAGTAAGAAATGTCTTTAGATTATTTTTCTAATGTGTTCGTATTTCAAGTTTTGTCTAACAGAAAGTCAATAATTTCCGCAATCAAAAGAGAGCGTGATAATATTTTTAATGTCGGACAACGTAGCTATTTACTATAATAACTAAAACGTTTAACCTATTCATGTTTATTCCAGTAATAAAAGTTGTCACTCATTTTAACACCTTCATAATATTGATACGACCAATAATATTCAGAAGTGAAGCAATTCTTTAAATTATCTTACAATAATAATAATTCATCTTACAATAATAATCATTATTTTTCAAATGCAATATCCAACCAAAATTCTGCCAGTTTTAATTATTTCCGACTCATTCGGTACGCAATAATTAAACAAAAGGAGAAGAACAAAAAAAATCGAAAAGAACAAGATGTGTAAAAAACACTTGAGGTAATTACGAAGGCAAGCAGTGGAGAGCGTTTTAATTAGAGCACACAGCATTCTCACACTCTCTCTTGATTACAGCGTGAAATTGCCTGTTTCGTGTAATTTCTTTATTTCCTTTACGAAAGGGGGTAAAAAAAAGCCGAGAGTTTCCGACAAAAATTTTTTTTAATTTCACGAGCAGCTGTACAGCTGCGCGAATGTAAACTAAACTACACGACGGTCGAAAGCCCTTTTCGCCGAGAGCGAATTAAGTAGCCGCGGATTTGCGCGCGAAAGCCCGCGCCACGCCAAATTGAGAAAGAAGTGGGAAATTCGGTTAAATGCGATTAGCAAGCTGCGAGTGTATAAATATCCATGCGCGAATACGCACGCATTGCCATTCGTTTCCAGAATTATCATCGTGTCATTAAACTTTTTTTCTCGAGAAACTTGATATTACCTCAGCGTCTGAATATCTAAATTCTATTCAATGAAAGGGTCGACCCTCAATACCGTGATTGTTTTTTTTAATTCACTGATAGTTCTAATACAATACACATGAATTCTATTGATGTATATTCCTTTGTAACTATCAATTAAACTAGCTCATTGAAAAGCACTTGCATAAATTGCAGTACGCGTGTATACCAAATGCGCTGCAAAAACAAACAAGCTAATGCATTCATTTTAGGCAGCATGTCCCTTTGAAGGCAGCATAATTCGTGGCAGAAGAACCGCGCGCTTCTCTCGCTCGTCTCTCTCTCTCTCTCTCTCTCTCTTTCCCTATAGCACGTTATATTGCAGAAACACGTTGGCACTAACGTGCACAGCAGAAAAGGCGGCAAAGATGAAACTCAACTATGTATGTGTACGCGCACCGGCAGCTTTTAGCGGAATTCGCAGAGGATGCTGCTGCTGCCGCTGCTGCTGCTGTGCTCGTTGTTTGCAAGGGAGGCGAGGCTTTTCGAGTTTCTTAGTGGATTAAATTGAGCGCGCAGAGATGGATGAGTGAAAATAGCTCGGGATTTTTACCAGCGAACAGCTAGCGCGTGTGCAGTTTAATGCCTTCGAGTTAATTACGACGAATGCGTTATTTGTTTAATGTCTGTTTTCTTCTCTCGAGTGATTTTTCTTTCCACGATGACGAAAAATGTTGTTTTACATTTAGTAAGTTTTTGCAAAATCGCCCGTTCTGCTAAATCGGACTTTATTGTTATTGTTTTTTTTTTATTTTACGCTCAATCAATTAAGCTTGCAGCCGATTTTTCTAATAGGAATTTTAGAATATTTGGAAAAGTTTCGATGTGCTCATTTAGCAATTGCCACGTAGAAACGTTGTGTAAAATTACAACATAGTGTATTTTCATAACGTAATTAGAATATTAATTACGACAGCAGGGTAGATGCAAATAACCAACAACAGCAACCTCGACATGAAAAGCAAAGCATCGTACAAAAATGAGATCCTGCTAATTAAAAGTCTGTCAGCGCTTCGCTTAAAATATTAAGTACTACGCGTAAAAAGAGTGAGAGAGTTGAAGTAGCCACGGTGAGAGATCGAAAACTTTCTTCTGTCAGAAAGGGGAAGAGAATATATTCCAGTGCAGTATTTCATAGCTTCGCAACGAGCCTATCACTTCCAAAACAAAGTAGACAAATTGGAAAAGTTTTCAAGTGCACGTGCATTATAAGACATTTGTATGAACGGAAAAAAAAAAGGAAAGGCAAATATTGCAGAGAATTTCGTTTCTAACACGTATTCGCTCGCGAGTGTCAAGGAATCTTCTGCCAATATCCATCTTCTATCAGAAAATATCCTCCATCTCGTCGTCGTTGTGCGTGTCTGTTCTCCTGTGCCGCAGCTCTCGATTTTCCATCCGTAATGCACACAAACACGGCGCGTGCAACGATATTCTGTATACCTAATGTATTTACACAAGACAACGCGAAATGTTTGTCTTGGCTCGAGGCTCGATTCGATATTAATTGAGTTTTTCAGGAGACCCTGTTTGGATTCTTACGGAGTGGCGGTCTTTCTTTCGTTTGTTTGTTGGGGAGTCGAGATATCGGTTTTTATTGGTTACACAGTTGCGAAATCGATTTTTTCCTTCGAATTTTGAGATGATATATTTTTTTGAAGACGGTTAGGGTGGTATATTTCTTCACAAAAGATTAAGTCCAGAAAATTGGTTTACATTATTTAAAGATTAATATTTTTACCACTTCACAAAACTTCACATTATTAATAATGAAGCTATATCCCAGCAACATTTAGCTATGCAATATCTCCAAATAAATCACGCAATAAAAATGAACAACCCACTCGCTTATACCCGCGCCGTAAAAATAATCTGCACGCGAGAGCGCGCAAAATTAGCTCATCTACATAAAGCGCACAATGAGCATAATAACCATGAGAGAAAGTTGGAAAAACGCCAATATAGCGCAACTTTGGCAATTAAAATCAAATCTACGTGCGTCGCGCGAATAAATAAGCTGCTTCCCGCCCTCATAATCGTTGACGCTCATCAAACACTAAAATCCAATTCCATGGGTACAACAACTTCAGATGTGGAGGAGCTTCCACTGCAAAATAAATACTACGTGCAACGTTCATAATCTTCCTGCGTATGAGTGGTTTCAACGATGGTGGGGAGCTTAGAGGGGACACATACAAGAAAAATAATTAAAACTCCTTTTCTAGATTCCTATAAGGCCGGTGCTAGTTTAAGTGCTTGCAGTCACGCGAGCACACTTGAAGGATTGCCGCACGAAGTTGCATTGTGCCTCCCCCCCGAAACTCGAGACTTTCAGCTGTTTTTCGAAACGTGCACGCGTGATGAAGATGCGCATAGCAGCTTGTGTATTATGCTACGCGCCGATTTGTCTGCCGCGCGACTTACGCTTATCGGCTGACCGACGCAGACACGGAAATTTTTCATGAGTTTTTTTTTCGGCGTAAAGTGCATGGAAGATACTTGCAAGATATCTGCAAGATAGTAAGAATTTTATTTTTTTCTTATAACGTTTGTATCTTTGACTAATATATAAAGTGGGTATTTACATTTAAAATTATTAATTCCACTTATAGATTTTCGCTGAGCTGTCTGTACAGTTTTAGTACTTTCCATGGGACGTAAGAAATATTTTAGATATTTTCAATATCTACTATGGAATTTTTATTTAGATTATCTCAACAAAAACATTAGAAATTAAAAATCATACTCCTAATTCTACCTACCTATTCTTATGAAACAATTCTAATATTTTAATATTTTATTTAGAATCTATAGAAGCTGCACAACGCTACCTTCTCCCCCCCTCCCCTCCCTTCCATTCATATAAACACATCCCCATAGATACGCGCATGATTGCGTAAGTGCGCTTGGCATCCCTTCAAAATTCAACGAGTAAGTACGTTATGTTTTTAGCTGTTGGAATTCCACGGGGATTTCTGGGATACGCATTGCCATTAGCTCCGACTTCGTGTTAAGTAGAGAATCGTGTCTGACCTTAAAGGAGTCGAGTAGAGAAAAAATCTTTCTCGAGCGATAAAGAGGAACGATATAATTTTTCAAACGCAGTCAGCTATATAATGGAAAACACTGGTTGAGCTCGTGCGTATGTGTCTAACCTTGAATATTCATCGAATGATAGTCCGAAGAAAATATATATTTTGCCATTCATCTATGCAAATGGATGCATTTTACTTTGGTCTGAGTGTCGTATAACCGACGTCTCTTTGGGATATGTTATATAAGTCAGGCAAGTTCGCACTAACCTAATGTTTACCTTACGTACTCCGTCATCATACATTTTCCCTTCAGAGTCCCTTTTCTGCAAAAGTATCTCGACTGTCGGCATAAAAAAAAAAAGAAAAATATGACTGGCGATAAGTCTTCAACTTGGAAATCCTCCGTTCGCGCGATAAATTTTCAGAGCCAATCACCGAGGACAAAGAAAAAGTAAAACTACGAAGAAAGCGTAGTACAGTGAAGCGAACGAAAGAGAGACCCGCGAGTGTATATTTTCAAGCGAGTTAAATCGTCGGGAAATTCAAATCCGCCTGCGGCTTGGATTTTTCAAGCGCGAGGTATCAAAGATTTTTCCTCGGGTAACGGATGAACGGCAAAATGAAGCCTGGATTTGCAGGAGGAAAATTTCCAGCGTCTGCCAAAGCTAAAGTCGTCTGAAAGGGGGAGGAAATGCCGCTGCCGCTCTCTCTTTTTTCGGCTTCTTACGTATGCAGTTTTACTTTTGTTTTATTCGCGTTGCGTGATGTTTCCGCCAAAGAAAGGGTTTGAGCTTTCGCCATCCCTCTCTCTCTCTCTTTCTCTCTGAATTATTTTGTAGGCTTTTGTCTATGCGTGGTATTTGGGTTTTTCGCCAGGTGGATGTACAGTGGATTTGCTCGACGAGTTGTTGAAAAATGGTTTTTATTTTTCATTTGTGATTTAATGCACGAGCTTGTTTAAAAAATTTTTTGCTGGGTAAAAATGAAATGTACGATATATCTCAACAACTTTTTCAGTAATTTAAGCTTGAAAAACATTTTTTCCTTGTTTCAGGACTCGATGCCGAATTATACTACGTGAGAGAAGGCCTAATCAACACGTACGCAATGAATTTTGTAGTACCCGTAGCGGCGACCATCGACGACTTGGAATTTACGTGGCAAAGTCTAGTTGGTCAACCGGTACGTAGATCATCAATAATAAAACTCGTCATACTTTGGATAGGCATAAAATCGTTCATTGATCTCGACTATCGTCATCATCGTTAAAGTTCAATTCCTTGATAAAGTAATGAATCTCTGTTGAAATAGCTCATCGCTAAATCAACAAAAATCTATACATCATCCCCTTTGAACAAACAGTCGATCTATCAAAAAAATCGGGCGTTAAAATTCAGTTAATCTCTTTCTTTCTCGGCCGTGAGAAAATCAGTGCTTGAAGGTGTGTGTGTGTGTGTGTGTGTGTGTGTGTGTGTGTGTGTGTGTGTGTGTGTGTGTGTTGTGCATACAGTGTCCATTAACGCGATGGCAAACAACAGCAGCGGAGCAGCACTCACATCAATGCTCTATCAATATGAAATACAAACTGTGCGCTCGTAGTGGTCGTCAAGGAAACCCCTCCGATAGAGAGAAAGTGTCCCTTTTCGCTTTCCCCTTGCGCGAAGTTATCCTAAAGCGACCAGGAAATTGTCCGAGCGGAACACTGCTACTAGGCGCGTCGCATTGGGGCGTGAAACCGAGTGCATGTGTGCACACGGGCGTGGCGTGCCTTATTATTTCTGCGATGCAGATGCGCTGTAATTACTATGTGGTTAGACGTGCCGACGTTGAGCGTGATGAATTTCGATGCGACGGACGAGCAGATGAATGCGCGCGCGGTCGCATATGTCGAGCGATATCTAATGAATTTTGATTGCGCCCTTCTCCCTAACACGGCGACGACTCTTTGGATTTTTCGCTCACTCGCAAAGTAGACATTTGTATCGACGAGAAGACGTAGCAGCTGAAATGTCGCATCGTTCACGGGATGTCGAAAGCATTGTTACGTAATACACACGCCGCGTAGCACTTGAGAAAGTCTATATATGTGCTTCTACGCCCTCGTTAAATGCATTTAAAATGCTTTTAAACGTAGCGAAAGTGCATTTAACAAGCGAATAATAATTGGAATAAATGCTGTGTACGAAGCGCTTTCGGATTTCGTTGGTTGACAAAAAGTAGGAGGAAAATTTTTTCCAATGGAACGACGGACGTCGCTCCGTTAATTGAACGTCAAGACAGAAAATTATCCAAGTTCCAATATCTGTATCGATTGCTAATCGGACGGCTTGGCATCTACACGTCTAAGTGACTCGACGCGTTTCAAAAGCGGCTGGCTTATAGCATTCGACAGTCATTTGCTCTCTCACTCCGCGACAGACAAAAAGAGAGTGCATATTTCCCATCGCGTCAAGACGGATATTCGCACTTTAGAGCCTCGCGCGCTAATAATTATCGCGAGTAATCGAGGCGCGCCTTCCCACTCTCCGGAGCGCATACATGCACACAATAACTTGCGTGCGACGCGCATGATTTACGGGGCTTTGGGTATACAGTTGCCGCGAGAGAGATAACGCGACGCGGAGGAATTATGCGCAATTTCCAAGGGATACGGGCACCATTGCACTGCTTGATTTTATTATCGAGATTAAACGTTAATGCGTCGCGGAGTATCAGAGTTCGCCGATTGTACTTCGAATTGGGTGGCTTCGCGCAGATAAGTTGGCGCTCAAGTACGTCCCGAATTTAACGTCCGACGCGCGTGAGATGTAATTAGATGAAGGCCCACCCCCTTTCATAATTGATTTGCATGCAGCTCGGGTATCCAGTTATTAGGCGGCTGGTTGGCTCGCTCCCCTTGTAAGACGATATTTTTCGGGCGTGAATCTTGCCGCTCTAAGTTGACTTACGGCGTCAATTTTTCTCCACGTTTTCATATCGAACAGTAACATTTTCGACAATCATTTGTCAACGTGAGCACCCTCGAATGCTTAACTACACGTACCAGAAGTTCTCGTATCAACAGGTTATACCACACGCTCATGGCAGCACACTGACGAAATCAGAAAATCAAACTCAAATCAAGCAAAAATAAAAACAGCTCGAATAACATCCACACTGAAAAGAGAGGCAAACGAGGACCTCCTACTTCTTTTAAGAGTTAAAAAAAACCAAGTATGGACTATCAATAATCGAGACACTTGATATATAGTTACACGACCAACCGGGAGTTAGTCCACTTTTCGTGGAGCTCCACTTAATCTCTCCGTCAATGGGCCACAATTCCTGAAAGAGGCCGTTCGTGCGGCGAATCCTTAAGCAGCCTCCTCCAACCGTCCTCGTCGTACGCCGAGAGGACATCGTCCTCCTTTATACGCTTTTGCAAAATCCAATGGGAGGAGGTAAGGGAAGTTATCGTTCGGGATGAGTTTCTTAGGAAGACCATTTTTCACGCGGTTAAAGGAATGTCTGGCTTTCAAGACCGAGCGGAAAATATTTGTTTTATTTACTGTGTGAAGAGAAAGGTTGTAACAATGAGATTTTATGTCTCACTTGATCGGTATCAAGCGGTCTCTCGCCTATATCTTGCGCACCAAATTTCCACCTAAGATCGCTTATGAGCGCCCCTTAATTCCCTCCGAAAGGTTTTAAAAGCAATGAGAGCCTAGCGTTAGAGCTAGAAGGAATTGAGACTCGCTGTCTTTGATAAGGACGTGGTGTGTGACGACGATAGTTCGAGAAGATTCTCTGACAAGAGTCGTGAGAAGATCTACCGGATACTTCAAGCATACACACGCGTACGCAGATATCTTGCAATTATCAACTACGACAGCGACCTTGAATCTGCGAGTCCACCGCAGATTTTGAGGAAAAATTAAGAGGAATTCAACTACTTCGCTTTAAATTTTGGAGGATTACTCTACCAACGGCGGATTATTGCACGATAATAAACAAAAATCGTGTAAGACGCACTTTTTTTAATAAGAACAATCGCAAATTAAAAAGAGTTTAGTAAAACCGAGTTGGCCTTTGACGAAAGTAATAATTACGATTACCGTTTAAACTAGAATCATTAATTGTATCGAAGTATTGAAAAATTGTAAGCGTGATCACGTAAACTTTAAACCTATTTAATAAAATTGACAATTATTAACAATAATCAATTTCATTTGTTATTGCCACGATCTTGTTCCTGAGCTCTTGGTCGTTTGCCTTTTCATATAAGCTCTACCGACATTTAAATGTGATGTTTGCGCTGGCCATTTAATATAAGTCCAGCATAATATTTACGTTATGTCTTGATTCTATATATAAAATTTTACAAGGTACATCCAATCAGGAAGGAAATGGCAAAAAAGGTTTCTATCACTTTTACGGCAATATATACGGCATTTTCCTGAAAAATTAATTTAAAACACGTATAAAAGTTAAAATTTCAATAAATTCGTCGTTCATTGTTTGACAGTCTGTGTAGCTATTTCGTAAATGTATTTTTCATAATATTATTACTAGTAAAATAATCTAAAATTATTCAGTTCGTAACTGGTTGTCACTTGCCTCATAAACGAAAAATGAGTCAACATTTTACAATTCTCCTCTTCTTATTATGCATACATTTCGCAGGCATGTGTGCGCAACGCTTACGAGCTGCTGGAAATTGATTTACTGCACAGAGGTGTACTTGCAATTAAGTTAAACCAAATGCCTCTTCTTCTCAAACATACTAATGCGAAATAAAATAAAAATAAAGAAACGATCTATCACGCGTAGTCCTCGAACAGCTTGGACCAATGGAAGGCATCGATGTGGAGAGCAAGCAAGAGAGCAACACCTGTCGAGACAGTTAGCAATCACGTAGCAATCCACGCACAGGCAGTGCGCACTAAACAGATCTGTCTTAGTAGGCGTAGGAGAAGCAGGTCGTTAGCCCAGCGGTCTGTGTGTATGTGTGTGCATTGCGTACGTGACGAAGCTTCCCAAAGCTTTGGCACGTATAGTCACCAAACGTGTGCACCGCCGCCGCCGGAGAGAGAGAGACAGAGATAGCACCCGAGTGTACCGCACTGCGTCGATGTACTACCCTGCTATTATACACTACCCTGCGCCCGTGAAGTGCAAACACACGTGACGCGCGCCGATATTGCCGCCTTGTTGTGTTTGCCCTTTCCACCCTCGCATAGTCTAAAAAAATTTCGCCAGATATCACGCTGTCCCTGAAGTCACTATTTTTTTCGAGTTTGCGCGTGAATGGGCGCGTTAATGTTCGTAATTTGTGACATTTTTATATGAATTGGCAATTTGGTTAAGATTGCGATTATTGTTAATATAAGTTAATCATTGATTCCGATACTTGTGTAAACACGAGCTGGTTAAATAATGGAGATTAGCACAGTGCGGATTGATTAAATGTGATTAGATTATTGAATAATTTATACATTTAGGTCGATAATAGTGCTGGATAAATTTAGATGGGAAAATATTTGATAGAATGTGGAAATATATATTCAGTTCTGATATTATGCTTCTCGTAGCTGTTTATTCAAAACAAAGATACAATCGTTAATAATGATATTGACTCGATAATTTATTCATTTCATGTTACACCATTAGATGGATACAGATTTTCGATTCCGTAGAGAAAATCTTTTGTCTTTGTAATATAGATGTGAGATAAATTACTTTCTTGAACTTATTCAGTGCTCAAAAATTATCTAGTTAGGTAAATGTGTGTTTGCATAGTCAAATTATTCTGAAAATCATTGTCTATAGTTATCAATGTACATTTACCTCATCGAACTGAATCATTATATATGATATTTCATTTGAATTACATTCAGACTTTATAAATATAATTTCATTCGGATTCCCTAAACTCTAATTTCCGAGAATAGAATAAAAAATCAAGCATATAAAACTACGCTTATAATTTCATAGACTAGTCGTTAGCCAATCTCTAATCGTAATTATAATAATAATGCCAAGTCTTAGCAGAAAGCATTTATTGAAATGAAAAGTAGTAAATAATAGTAGAATGACAATCACTACATAACCCTGAGAACATTACCTACTTCTCGCGTGATCTTGCATTTTAACGCTCAATATTCGTCAGCCGTACATTTTTTAAATCAGTTATGGTGTACTCT